TAACTTTTTGAAAAATGAATAATGAGGGGCTGGGGCTTGGGGCTCAGTGGTAGAGCGCTTGCCCACCATGTGTGAGGCACTGAGTTCGATCCTCAGCACCACATAAAAAATAAAGATATTGTGTCCACCTATAGCTAAAAATAAATTTTAAAAAATGAATAATGAAAATACTGAGTTTTCTAACCTATCAATAACCATATAATCTTATGCTCATTTAATTCTTTAATTTCTCTCAGCAGTGTTTTGTAGTCTTCAGTGTACAGGTCTTACCTGTGTTATGTCAGTTTTTTCTCTACTTCACATTTCTATGCTACTGTAATTAGCTTTGTTTTCTCCATTTTTGATTGCTTATTGCTGACAACTAGAAACAATTCATTTTTGTTATTGATCTTGTAGTTTGCAAACTTATTGAACTCATTATCAGTACCAGTAGCTTTTTTTGGCAATTCCAACACACGTTTTTCATACATGATCATATCATTGTGAACAGTTTCATTTCTCCTTTCCCAATCTGGATGCCTTTGATTTCTTTTTTTGTCTTATTGCATGAGCTAGAACCGCCATCAGAATGTCGAAGAGGTGAAGAGAGCAGACATCTTGCCTTGCTCCAATCTCCATGGAAGCACTTAGTACTTTACCAGCAAACACACTGCTGAGTGTAGAGTTTGTGTAGAGATTCATTATCAGGTTGAGGACATTCCATTCTATTTCTAGCTTTTTGAGAGTTAATCAAATATGAATATGGGTTTTGTATCACAATAATTATCAGGAAAATGCAAATGAAATGCTGGTGAGATACCACTACACATATATCAGAATGGCTAAAATTTTTAAAAATTGAAGTACTGGTAAGGATGCAGACTAACCAAAGCTCTCATTCACTACTGGTGGCAGTTTGGCATAGCCACTTTAGAAATGGTTTGGCAGTTTCTTAAAAAAATTAAAAATGTACCTACCTAAGAGAAATGAAAGTACGTGTACATACGAAGAATTGTACATGAATGTTCATAGTTGCTTTGTCTTCTCCAAACATTGGGAACAATCCAGATGTCCATCAACAGGCGAACAGGTAAACAATTACGGTATAGTCATGCCACATACCAGCAACAAAAAGGAATTAATTCTTTATTTATTTTTCTTTTTATAACACTAGAGTGTATTTTGACATGTCATACACACATTCTTGTGGTTGTATCTGATATGGGGTTTCACTCATCGTGTATTCATATATGAACATAGGAAAGTGATGTCCCATTCATTCTACTGGGAATGAATTCTCTTCTTTGTGTGTGTGTGTGTGTGTGTGTGTGTGTGTGTGTGTGTGTGTGCGCGTGTTATTTGTGAGAATGAATTCTTGATACCTGCAATAATGTGGACGAATCTCAAAATAATTATACTGAGTAGAAGAAGCAGACAAATCAGAACTGACACTCTATGATGTCTTACACAAAATTCTTGAAATGCAAACTACTCTATGGAGACGGAAAGGAGATCAATGGTTGATTGCTTGTCAATGAGGGAGGAGAGGCAGAGAGAGGTGAGAGGAGGGATCAGACGGAATACCAGGAGATCTGGAGGGTGATGGACATGTCATTGTCATAAGTTTCACAGATGTATACATATGTTGAAAGTTACCCAATTGTACATTTTAAATAAGTGCAGTTATTATGCTAATTATATCTCAATAAAGCTATTTAGAAGTGGAATAATAAAAAATCTTAAAAGAATATTAGTGTTATAAATGATTAAAAGAATATATACATAATATTTAAAAATAACTATTCTCTGAGATTTTAACCACGAAGCTAGCAAAGAATAGTAGTAGGGTGAGGAGAATGTCTTAAAATACAAGCAGCCAGCCGGTCTGGTGGCACACAACTATAATCCCAGCAGTTTGGGAGGCTGAGGCAGGTGGATTGCAAGTTCAAAGCCAGCCTCAGCAACTTAGGGAGGCACTAAGCAATTCAGTGAGACCCTATCTCTAAATAAAATATAAAAAGGGCCGGGGATGTGGCTCAGTGGTAAAGCAACCCTGGTTCAATCCCTGGAACCAAAAAAATAAATAAAAATCGCACACACACACACACACACACACACACACACACAGACACACACACAGACAAGCAGCTAAATCTCCCATGATAACATGGGGACTAAAGTCATATTTAGAGAAGTGGCAGCTAACGACACAGTACGCAAGAACTGCGAGTCCAGCAGAGGCAGCTCTGATCAGCCACTGGGCCACCCTTTAAAGGCATCAGTGCCAACCCGTCCAGGTGGGGATGGACCTCTGACTCCCACATCTCAAGCCTGTCACTCCTCCAGATGCCCTGAGTCAGAAAGCAGGCACCCCTCCCAGGGCTCTCTGCTCCTCCACAGGAGACCCCCAGCGCCCACCCTGGCCACGCCACCCCGCCGCCTGTTCTTCTCACTTGACCATCAGCGAGCCCTTACCCTGGTACCACATTTGCAGATTCACGTCCATTAGAGCTTTACCTCATGGCCCGAGAAGGCAGGGGTTGACCGCCTTCAGAAGCAAGGAGGTACCCGCACATTCCCTCACCCAGAGGGACGTCCCCCAGGGGAGGGCAGTAAACACAGGCCTTGGGCACAGGCCGGTGTTCCTCATCTCTGGGGACTGCTGTGGCCCTCGGTGCCAGGTTCTGTTGGACCCACCTGTGTCTTCCTCCTGGTCTTCTCACTGGAAGGCAAATTCCCCAGTGGCAGGGACCATGTCTCTCTTGCAGCTGTGTCCCTCAGCTCCCAGGGCCACTGTGGCCCATGCCAGGAGCCCAGGAAATGGATGCAATGGCGTGCATGGTGAGACACGCAGGGACCCAGGAGGTGGTCACATCAGGCAGCACCTGGTTCCTCACCCACAACCAGGAGGTTCCAACTCTGCCGCTGGATGGGTACCTCTGCCCCCTTCTCCAGTGGAGCCAGTTTGACTGTCGAGAACATGGTGGGCTGAGTCAGAACGAGGCTGGACACCATCGCCAATCTGTCTGCTTTCCAAGAACCCTGGCTCTCCGGGGCCTGTCTCGTGTTGCTTGGAACCTTGTGGAATTTCTCCTTGTTTGTTCTCCCTACTCGTCTTTTTTCTCCTTTTTTAATCCTCTTTTGCAATGCTGGGGATTGAACCTAGGACCCCAGGCTGCTGGACTCTACCACTGAGCACATCACCGGCTCCTTCCCCTCTTCAAACTACCATGGGGCCAGGCATGGCGGCGCACGCCTAAAATCCCAGCAGCTCAGGAGGCTGAGCCAGGAGGATCATGAATTCAAATCCAGTCTCTGCAACTTAGTGAGGCCCTAAGCAACCCAGTGAGACCTTGTTTCTAAATAAAATATAAACATGGGCTGGGGTGTGGCTCAGTGGTTGAGCACCCCAGTACCAAAAAAGAAACCTATCCTAGCTCCCCCTTCCTCTCCCGGGCCAGACACTCGTGTCCTTCCCTGCTGGGTTGGCTCTGCCTCCTGTCCTTGTCAGCCTCCTCTCTCCCAACTGTGACAACTCCTCTAGGCCCCCAACACCATCCAAGATGCCCCCTTCAGGCCAACCCTGTACCCACGTCCTTCCCCCCCCACAAGCACCTCCCTCTTTCTAAACCCCAAAGCCTTTCCTGCCTTCCTTATGCCCTGCACAACCTTCTGCCAAGCCCGAGAGTGACACAGGACACCTTTCTGCCCAACCTCCAGGGCAGTCGAGGGCAAGGCCCAAGGCCTCATCTGACTGCAGCCCGCCACAGCTCGCCGCACCTCGCCCATACACCCTTGTCAAGGGAACTGTTCTTCAATCAATCAATCAACAATAAATAGAAACAACCTACAGGAAGTGGGTGCTTTGACGATCACCTGGGGTTCTGTGTGGCTCTATGCTGAGATTCACTCAGTGTCTTTTAGGGGAGACCCCTGAGGGGTCCCACTTCAGGTCACTGTTGGACTAGTGGCCCTGGGGCCCCTGGGGCCCCTGAGTCTCCAGCTCAGGGCTCTTCTCAGAGTTGCAGTAGACCCCTGCCCCGCCTTTCCTCTGGGACCCTTGTCCCGGTGTGGGATCCAAAGACCTGACCTCCACTGGACTTTGGGTCACTCCATGACTGGGCTCGTTCACCAGCACCTGCTCTGGCTCGGGGGAAGATTCCCTAGCAGCAGGGACAGTGCGCCCAGCACAGAGGGCCAGGGCTCTCCTGGGCGTGTCGGGCCTGGAGTGCCACTGGGTCCCAGCACCTTCCCTCAGGTTCTCTCTGGCATGGAGCTCAGCATTCTGGCACCTCGGGGTACACGTCTGTCCCTCCCCTAGCTGAAGCGCTTTGGGGAACTGCCCAGGTCCTGCCCCTGTGTGTGCTCAGTGTCGGGGGCCCAGCAACGTGGTGGTGATGGGGAAGGGTGTGCCGGGTTTTGTGGGTCACACTGAGCGTCGACCGCTCCTGTGGCCCCCTTTCCGTGAGCACTGCGGAACCTGGGGAGAACAAGCCAGGGCTACAGAGCTGGGGCACTTCAACCTGACCAGGGGAGGGCAAGTGGCTGAGGGGCTCAGTGCCATGTTCACAGCGACGTGGCGGATGGGGCTGGGCCAGGCCTCGGGGCTGCATCTCACTCTGAGCCCTGACACCTGACCCTCTGGCCCTGGCCAATGTCTGACCGCTCCGAGTTCTTGGCATATGCTCAATGCACACGGAAACACTGTCCCTGCCCGTCCCACAGGGTGCTATGATGAAATCTGGAGATTGTGAAAAGCCACATAAACATGAGGACACTCTCTGGAGACACTCGGTATGGGACACTGAGTCTTTCTTGGAACGCTCCCCGAGCGTAAGACCTTCAGATCCCAATCCCACCTGCAACACAACAGGCCTCTCGCCTGCGGGGTGCAGGCACAGGATGCCAACCAGCAGGTGCAAGGTGATGCAGGGACCCACCTCCACCATGACACCCAGGGCCCTTCCGAGCCCCACGCGGTCCAGGTTGGCACTGGGGACAGGAGAGATCAGCTCTGCGCGTGTGTTCCCAGGAGGTTTATTAGTAAGCACACCAGGGAGCTCTGGGTCCTTGCCCAGAACAAGGGGCTGAGAACATCCAGACAGGGAGGGGCCACCAGAGCCACCAGGCCTGGCTCCCGTGGCAATGGCCATGTTCCTGCTTCAAGCACACAGAATCCTCCCTCCTGCGCCCTCCAAGTGTCCTCCTGAGGAGGCAGGGAAGTCGGGCGCCTTCTCCACAGAGAGCCAGCTCCCTCAAGGTTCTCTAACTCGCCTGACAACCACCCGCCCTCACCCCAAGAAATCTGGACAGGCCCTGCCTGCTCCCCCACCTTGGTCAGGGTGGGGACCCCCACGTCCTGCAGAGCCAACCCCGTGCCAGCCCAGCACGCCCAGCTCACTTCGGGAGCCTGACAGCTAAAGTCTTGAGTGGACGAATTTCAGCAGGTTGGCCAACTGCTGCTCCAGGTGCTGCTCATCTCCGTGGTTCTCGATGACCCAGTCAAAGTCCCCAAAGTCGTCCAGGCCACATTCCGACTCAGCGTCATCCACCCCTGTGGAGAGGCATGGTGAAGTCAGGCCCCAGCCCTGCAGCCGTGGAGGCCAGCTGGCTCAGGCGGAGAGGGTCCCCCGGCCTCTTCACCGCTGTCCCAGAGTCAAGGTCTGCCCCCCTGGAGGGCATCCCCACCCGCTCCAACACTGCGGTGCAGACGCACCGCCCACAGCCAGCTGACTGAACTCTTCACTTGCCACTTCGCACAGAGGGTGAACCGCATCATGGAAAACCACAAACAAGCTGGGCATGGTGGCCCACGCCTGTGACCCAGCCACTTGGGAGGCTAAGCCAGGGGGATCTCCAGTTCAAAGCCAGCCTCAGCAACCTAGTGACACCCTGTCTCAGAATAAAACAATATGAAGGGCTGAGGATGTGGCTCAGTGGTAGAGCACTCCTGGATTCCATCCCCAGTCCCAGAATAAAATAAAACCACACACAACCCAAAAGGCATGATGCCTTAGCGTGAATCACGGCCATGTTCATTTCCCTCTTTCTTTTTTATTAGAATGGACACAATACTTTTATTTATTTTTATGTGGTCCTGAGCCCCAGCCCCAGCCCCAGCCCCCGCTGTGTTCATTTCTACCCTCCATCTGTGTGATGCAGTCCTCCGAGGAGGCCACGTGTGCAGGGCTAGAAGCAGAGGCCTTCTCTGTGGCCCTTCCAGGCCTGGGGACAGCAGCGTCCACTTGGTGGGTTTGGGGCACTGGTCAGTGAGCCGCTGCCTGCAAGGCGCTCAGCCCAGCCTGGCCGACAGGAGGGCCCAGGAGACCCGCAGGCAGCAGGGTGGCACCCGTGACCTGAGCTCCTGTGGCCCAGTGACCAGAGGCAGGCTGGAGGCCAGTGCTGGGCCAGCGTCCCCGAGACGCCTGAGAGCTCCCGCCTCGGGACACCCCTCACCGGGTGTGTGCATCAAGAGGAACTACGCTGGGGGCTTCCTCCCCCCGCTGTCAGCCCCCACAGAGCTGCAAGGCAAAGGGGAGGGTCACGGGGTGGGTCTCAGCCAGACCCCCAGAGAAGCCCATCGGCCTTGAGAGGGCAGCCTGGGTAAAGGGACCAAGTCAGAGTCACAGGGAGACCTTGACCCTCCAGAACACCCTCTGCGTCCCACTCCTGAGCCCTAGGCCTCAGACCCCTCCCTGGAGCCTCTCCCTCACTGACCTCAGGTTACCAAGGAGCCAGCAGGAGGCCCAGGACACTGGGGTCAGGGTCCGTGACCTCCACGCGGTGTGTCTCACCTGTGAACCAAGCCCTGGGGACAGATGCTACTACCAGCAGCTTACCTGGCGTGAACACCCAGCCCCGCTGCTGCCGGCTCTGCTCCGAGGCGAACACGCGGACCGTCTGCATCGCAGCCCCGTAGGCCTCCCGGAACCACTGGATGTCAGACACCCTCCGTGTGTCACTCACCAGCTGCAGGGCAGGGACACAGACAGGATGCTGCAGCTGGCGGGAAGGGGGATACCAGAGAAACCAAACCACTGCGCAGCTCCACCCCGGCATCGTGAGCACCAGAGCAGCTAGGGCAGAGCAGCTGGCCTCAGTTCCTCCTTCCATTCGGTCACACACTGAGAGAACACTGCTGAGTGCTAACCCCCTGCAGACTGCTTGTTCACCCGACTAGAGCACTGCACAAGGGTTTCAGGAGGCACCTACTAGGTGCTGGCACTGTGCCACGTGCTGAGGCCAAAGTGGTAAAATGCACCTGTCTTCAGAGCCTATAATGCAGCTGGGCACAGTGGCACATGCATGTAACCCCAGTGACGCAGGAGGATCGCAAGTTCAAGACCAGCCTCAGCAACTTAGTGAGGCTCTAAACAACTTAGCAAGACCCTGTGTCAAAATAAAAAATAAACAAGGGTTGGGGATGCGACTCAATGGTTGAGCACCCTTGGGTTGTCCCCAGTACCAAAAAAAGAAAGAAAAACAAAACGAGATTGATTTATTTAAGGAACAGGGAAGGACCGGGCAGCTGCAGCTCAGGGAGTAAAGAGGCTAAAAGGCAGCAGGAGCAACGTCCAGAAGTTAAGGACTGATTTTGTTCACAAGAATGACGGGTAACCACCAAAGGGTCTTGTTTTGGGTCCCCCCACCCCAGTATTCCCAAGTAGCTGAAATGGCAGGCGTGTGCGTCCAGCACCAAAGTGTTGCAGACTAACAGTGACGTGACTAGTGTTCCTCTGTAATAGGCCACTGTGCAATGAACGAGGAACGCATCACAGGACACAGCCAGAGCCAGAGACCGAGAGGAGTGGGGGCTGCTGTGACGCCTGGGGAAAGACGGGAGACTTGCATAGGACCAGGGCAGGGCAGACAGGGGGCTGGGAACAGCGAGGGCTGCGGAGAGAGGTTGTCCTCCGGCTGCCAAGGTGACCTCTTACCCAGATGGGCTGGGAGACGCCTTCTACGATCTTCCTGCAGAAAAAGCCCGGGTCGGCCCGGCGCTTCTCCTCCCCCCAGCGGATCATGTCGCTCCGATAAGCCTCCTTGTAGGTGCTGGCGTCCAGAAGTCTCTGGAAGTCCAGGCTGTGCTCCTGTCCAAAGCATATTACGCCTCAGGCACTGCCCTCTCCACCTCGAGGGCCCTCCTAGAACTGGAAGAGCAGGCCCTGCCGCACCACCTCCCCAGCTAGAGCAAGAATGACTCCAGCCATTAGGCCAAAGGTCTGCAAAGGAGAGTTCTGGAACAGGACAAACCCCAGTCACTCAAAGGTGGGAGGAAGGTCCGGGGTCATCCAGAAACGGTTTCCACCTGTCTTTGAATGTTTGATGTGGTTTTCTCTTTGCAAATTTTACCTTCCCAATTATTTCTGGCTTAAACTAATCCTGAAATTAGTTGGCAACCCCTGGGCACAGGCTTAGCCTTCAACTCAATCTGACAAAAACCAACCAACTTCACTGCACGCCCCCCCCACCGTCTGCCCCACCCCAACTCCTGGGGAAGTCGTGCCTCCTGCCTCCTGCCTTCCGCCCTCGTCCCTTTCCCCTTCCCCACCCCCACATTCCTGGCACTCTGCTGAAAACCCTGGTCCCCACCCCACCTCCGGGAGCTGCCTCCAGACCTGGCCTCCCCTTCTCCAGGATCCTGACAGCCAGAGGGGCACAGCCAGAGGGTCCGGGCCAGGAACGGGTGTGAAAGGTCAGGTTCCCCTTCAGCAAGGCCTCCGCCCCAGGCTCCCTCTCTCCTCCTGCTTTTCTGGGATGAGGGTAGGGATGGAGACTGAGCCAGAGGCACGCACCACGGAGCCACATTCCCAGCCTTTTTCACTTACTCGCGAAGGTGCCCAGCTGACCTCAAACTTGTGATCCTCCTGCCTCGGGAGCCAGTGGGACTTGTGCCACTGCATCTGCAGCAGCTCTCAGCCCCTTGGTCCCCACCTGATGCCCTGTTCCAAGGAGAGGGCAGCAGCTACCTCCTGCTTATCAGCCACCCCTCCCCTCCACTGGGGGCATGTGGCCTGCTTGTTGGTTTCCACCTGTGACTG